GTCATTCTTCTTTTGGTTCAAGCTGGTCAAGAGAAATTGTTCAAAACCCGAATCGAGAGTGCTCTAAAATTCGCGGCAAAGAAGCCAAAATCAGCAACGGTGAAGCTCCCCTTTGGGCTTTGCGGGTGCCAGGAAGAGAATTCAAAAGGGAGAGACTTTGGCGAGATTGAAGAGGATCCCTGTGATCTAAGTTACAGAAATGGAATTGAGAACGTAGGAAATGTCAAGATTCAACTTGACATGCCCTTGCCTAGTTCATCTTTTGTTGTTTCAGTTGATGAATGGCAAACGATCCAATCAGGTGGTGATGAGCTTGGAAAATGGCTTCTGAATTCTGATAATCTCGAGTTCACTGACCAGGTTGGACCGACCTCTTTTAAGGGAGTGTTCAGGGGCAAAAGGGTTAGAATTGAGAAGCTAAAAGGGTGTGAAAAAGGGAACTCGTATCAGTTTGAGCTGCGAAATGATCTACTGAAGCTAATGACTTGTGGGCATAAGAATATTCTGCAGTTTCATGGTGTTTGTGTTGATGAAAATCATGGATTGTGTGTGGTGACGAAACTGATGGAAGGTGGTTCTGTTAATGAACTCATGTTTAGGAATAGAAAGCTCCAAGCTAAAGACATGTTTAGGATTGCTGTGGATGTAGCAGAAGGGCTTAAATTCTTGAATGATCATGGAGTGGCTTATAGAGATCTGAACACTCAAAGAATTTTGTTGGATAAACATGGGAATGCTTGCTTGGCGGACATGTGTATTGTGGCTGCCTGCAAGGATATGGGTGAGGCTCTGGAGTATGAAACTGATGGTTACCGCTGGCTAGCCCCTGAGGTTTGTTCCTTGATCAAACTCTTACACATTTTAGTAAAACGAATTTGACTCTTAAGTCTTAAGTCTCAACATAAGCTGGTTCATGTCATTATCTTAGTTCTCTTGTTTTTGCGCTAAACTTTCTTATTAATTATTCATGCTTAATCGTAGCTTGGCTACTGTCATTTTAGAATAGGCAACTGCCATAATGTTTCCAATTCTCCTGAAATGAGTTCTTTGGATTTGAATAGTTATCTTACTATTGGTACTAGGCTTCTTCTTTTTGGTTTACCTTTGTTTAGATCTATATCTATCTCTCCATTTGTCTGTCTATCTGTCTCCTTTTGAACTGTGTAAATGATTTGGACCATGTTTTGCTATTCCACCTATAATTTTTCAATTTAGTATAACATGTTTTGCTGGTTATGGCTCCATTGATTTCATTTTGGTGTGATTACTGTTGGTTCTATATTTTCTAGTATTCTTTGCGCACCTAAAAAGGCATTATTCCACTATCATTATCATAATTATGTAGGCATGCGAAACCCGTAATCATACCTCTCTTTTGCTGTAGATGCTAATCTAAAGTCGGCCTCTGCATAAGAAATCTATCATCACGTACCCTTTCCCCTGTCTTGCCCATTATAGACCACTTTTAGGAATATACTTTATTGCATCGAGCCCGCAGAATGGAACTTTGATCATTATAAGCTGCATAATTTTTTTTGTCCTTTTCAAGACCTAACTTGTCAAGCATGTAGATTTGTTTGCCTAATTTGTTTATTCACACAGCAATAGCATGATGGCTTAATCTAAATAACTCGTCAGTGCTTATACCTCTGCTTACAATTGTTATTAGAAAACTATTGTTCCCCTAACTCTATCATCATTAGGCACGATCAACCCACTGGAAATAACATGTCTTCCCTGTGTGCCTTTTGGAAAAACAGATCATAGCAGGCGACCCAGAGTCTGTTGCTGAGACATCGATGAGCAATGCGTATAGTTTTGGAATGGTGATTTGGGAAATGGTTACCGGTGAGGCTGCCTACGGCTCATATTCCCCTGTGCAGGCTGCAGTTGGCATAGCTGCATGCGGCCTTAGGCCTGAGATCCCAAAGGACTGCCCACAAATTCTCAAGTCTCTGATGATCAAGTGCTGGAACAATGTCCCGTCTAAGCGGCCTCAGTTCAGTGAAATTCTCTCAATTTTGCTCAACACGTGTAGGTAAAAAGTTCATCAGAACAAATATATAGTGTAGTTATTATGATAAAGACTTGGTGTAGAGAATATCCCCTTATCAGATAGGTGAATGCCATGCATGCATGACTTAAGATTTTCAAAAGTTGTTTACACAGAAGAAAATGAAGGTAGATGGTCTTCTGGTTGTTTGTCCTCCCCCATATATCACGGGAAAGGAAGGGGGAAAAAGCTTATAAGTTGTCACGTATGTTTTCACTTTAGTGTGTCTGCAGCTATGATGTATGTATCTAACATGGCGGCAACTTTAAGTGGGGAGTATCAAGTTTCCTAGTCATTCTTACAAGAGGCTGGGGTTATTAGTTTGGCATAAAGAGGGTGGAAAACATGTAAAGCAAGAGACTTGGTGGTGCTGTGGTGGGCCTTTTGGGCTTGTCTTGTGGCTTAGCAAAGGGAACAGAAATCTGGCCCTTCTTTGTCTTTTGGTCTAATGGGAAATGGAAATTAACATCATCTGTAACTTCCTTTTTGCCATCCAATTCTGGTTCAACTTTCAACATCAGCATCACCTTTTGCTATCCATTTTCACTCTTTTGTCTTTAGGGTTTGGAAGTATGGATATAATTCTTGATTCCTCTTTTGTCTGTGGATTTTCCCATGAGGTCCTACTTTGGTAGGTAGCATGGTTCCTTCAGCTGCTACTGACTGATTGATGTATCCTACGTTTTCATTGTTCATGACTTGAGAGAGTTTCTGTTATATATTGCTTCTTCTGCTTTGTTTGATGCAACCATTTTATTGGTTTAAGTGGGGGTGGTGGGTCCTATCGTAATTGGGACATTGAGATTATGTAGAATGAAATGATTGATCCAAGTGGGTGATTAAGATTAAAGGTACAGATCTGGGATCCCCTTGATTGAATCATAGATCTGAGAGGAAGGCTTCTACTTTCTGCTGTGCATGCATCCAGAGGCAAAAAGTTTGTGCATGAAATTTCCTCTTCTGGGGATTGTGTTCATATCAAGAATCATGCTTGCGGGTTTTGTTTGGATATGGAGATGTTCAGTTCAGATTTAGATCCATGCCTTTGTTGGAAAGGAGGCATATGCTTTTTGGAGAGAAACTGAGATTGAAGAAGGAAAGTCAGGAATGGATGGCTGGGCTGATGCACATGCTTGTGATCTTGGTGGGGCCATATGTAGGCACCCGGTGGAGCTCAATCGATGAAAATAACTTTCTTCCCAATTAGATCCGCAAATGAGTCAAGAGTGGCTTGATACTTGTTCAGTTCGTGAAACTCGCAAGTTAGTTTGACTTGGTGACTCATTTAGCCCAGCTCCTGAGCGGATTCGACAATGTGTACAGCGATGTAGTTTGACTAGTTGCTCATTAGTTTATTGATTTAGGCTTTATGAGTTGGCTTGTTGATAGTTTATAGACTTATTAGATTATATATTTCACATAATGGTTTAAAACTTTGCCTACTTATTATATTAAAAAAAAAGGGAGTTGCTAATTATCGCCCTAATTTATTGTAATCGCCCTAATTTATAAATTATTAGTACCTTTTTATCCTTTCTTTCTTATATTATTGTTAAAAATATTTTATTATAACAAACATAATTCATCCAAGCAATTTGAAATCAATCACTTTTGTATTCCCACTACCGTCAATCATGATCTCGCCGGGCGCCACCATGTTAATCCAACGAGGGTAAGTGGGTAACTTGATCGGGAACAATGCAATCGTGGTCGGCCTTTTCCCACTTCCTATTGGATTTAGGGTGCTGCACAAACAAGAAAATCAAACTTAATAAAGAAAGAAGCATTGAATTTGACGGGGGCAATGGAGGGAGTTCCTTTCAATTGTGGTGCTTCTTTAGGACTGAAATGACATGGCGTAATCAAAATAAAGGGTTTGGGAGACACGGAGAATAGGGAAGTGGTGGATTATGGGAATCAATTTTGGAGGATGGTTCCCGCCATGGCCTCCATCTACGGCTGGGTGAATGGTGCCGCTAGGAATCGGGGAGAAGGTTAGGCGCCGGCGAGGGGAAGGAACGGTGGCGGACGGCGGCAGAGGGTGTTCGGAGGGGAGGAGGTTGGCGTTGCTGAAATTAGAGATTTTAGGGTTTGTTTATTTGATTTGATTAATGAAGGACAATTTAGTAATTTGGTATTATAAGTTAGGGCGATAATAGTAAAACAAGGGCGACATTTAGCCGTCCAGAAAAAAAAAATTGTGTGTACTTGGCCAAAATAAGTTTTATTTATAATCTCCAAGAGAAATTATGTATTACAAATTTTTTTAGATTCTAATGACGAAAAGTAACATATGATGTGAACTAGTTAGAATATGTGAACTAAATATGATATCAACTTAGTATATAAATGTGTGTGATATAAATTAATAATAGAAAGTCCAATATCATTTGTTCCTCTTATTATATTTATCATATGTATCATATATAAATATTATAGTCTGAATGTATAAATATTTTATAGTTTATGCTATGCTTTAACCATTTTAAAATCATAAATGACTTGTGTTTGAGCCAAACTCGAGTAAATCGAGCTCATTAGCTCATTAATGAGGCAAACTTGAATCATACTCAAGTTTAGCTCGATTCAATGTTTTAGTAAACAAGTAGAGCTCAAGCTCAACTATTTTTTTTTTTAATGAATTGAGCATTCAGTAGATCAAAACACGATTCAGCTCGATTCATTTGCAACTCTATTCTCAATTTTAATTTACTGTCTACCGAAAGATACAGCTGGGATGTTACTTCCTCCGGAAAGCCCTTGTTTAATCCTGGCATTGTGGTTAGCATGTTAATTATCAAAAGTTTAAAAAACATAAACTAGCATGGTATTGGTTGGGGTCTCGTTCAACTAGTTGACTGATTTACGTGCTCCGTTTTTCTTTTTTTTTTCAACGGTCAATCCGGCTGTGTTGCTGACAAAGGTTAGGTTTTGTCAGTATCATGTTGACAAAATTCTACTCCACTGGACAGGACAGGAGCATCTTTTTCCCTTTAATAGGGTTCTATTCACACCATTTCTCCCCCATTTATGTTGACAAAATGAATAAGCCACAATGGACACAATCTGTACATAAACTATCTCTGCTGGGCAGCAAGTTCCAATCAGCAAGTGAAACTAGAGCACAGCCCTGAAACTACTACTAACAACAGTATGCATTCAGGCCGCAACATATCATCATCCTACGAGATCACTCCTCTCTATCCAAACAATCACAACTAAATCGAAATGGAGAGCGTTTGATAAGGTGGGGGCACTAGAGGAACTTGCTGGGTTCATCCTTGGGTTCTCATCTTCTCTGGAAATTTATGACTTTCACAGAGATGGCGAAAACAGAGAAGAAGAGGAGACAGAAACAGACGAGGACCACAGCTGAAAGTCCGACCATGTTTGTCGAGTAGCCGTAGTTTGCTTTTAAGTACTCCTTCACGGGTACTCGAAATCCTGGACCCTGAACCATGGTTTCCACATCACCAAGCTGGGACGAGATAATCCCCTGCAGTGTCCATGCTGTAGGGCAGATGTAGTAGTACCATCTCCACCACACTGGAATGAACTGAGACACAAACACCAGAAATAATCAAGTTCAAGCAGAACATTATTTTATACACCCATTTTAACCCCAACCACAAGCAGATTTCTGATCTCTTGTTGTACCTGCTTTGGAATAAGGAACCCAGAGAAAAGATACCACAGGGAGTAAACTGCAGAGGAGATCACAGAGGCTAAGTTCTGAGTAGGGGTAATCCCAACAGCCATCATACCGTAGAACGTGAAGTAGGTGAACGTAAGGAACACAAACACCAGGTAGAGAAAGAATTTTGCTGCAACATGTGCAAAAGATTTATTATGCAAGTTAGTGACTTGCTGCTATGAGCCTATGAAGCAGAGGGAAACACAATGTTAATTAAGGTGTTCTGTCGAGAGTCTTACCAGCGTCTTGCTCGAAACTAATCGTGAAGTATGTTATGATACAATACACAATTGTCTGAGCCAAAATGTAGGGGATCTCCACAATTCCCTATGATGAAAGATTTTAAGACTTCCATTATGTCATGGAACTTGGATCGGTGAGGAAAAAATTGCATGCAAAGTTAGAAAATGACCAACCTGTGCTGCTGCGTAGGCCAAAGGGGAGTACATACCAGCTGCTTTCTCTCGGTAGAACACCGTTCTCTCAATGGACACTATTGGCTGCACCGTAGTAGCATTGCTCACCCCAAGGAATATACAGGAAATGTACAAAGCTCCCATAACAGTCGACAAGGCCTGAGTTGTGCCCCTAAAATCATAATTGTTCTTTCAGAACCCATAAAAAAAATAAAGGTGGGGTAGTATCAGAAAAAAGGGAGAAGTTAGGGAGGTGGCCTATTGTTACCTTATAGATCCAATGCCCCAAAATTCAGTGCCTAATATCAGTGCGGCTATCATAGTGTAGAACAACCTTACTGCATTGTATCGTGGACTTCTCCAATATACAAGCATCTGTTTCTTTAGGCAAATCCGAAACTGTGACCATGAATCTTGTGCATGCGTGGAGGAAAAGTTCAATGGTTCAGAACCAGGAGGAGGGGCACTCCAACTCATGATTGAAGCTTCCACCTCCCTAGAAAAACATCAATGATATAAAGGAGACAAAATAATCAGAAAATCTGGAGAAGCAAAAAAGTCTAACATAAAAGCATTTGGATTTACCTATACTGTTGAGATGTTCTATATAACTCAGCGAAGTCTGCTTTTATTGTCTCTTCAACACTGGTACTAGTGACCTCGAGCATCCAAGTAGCAGGATTATAACCTTCCGGAATTGGAGGGACCCCACTGATCCCCTAATCAAGGAAAATCAACATCAAAATGAGGTTCATTTGCATGATTAATATGACAAAATAGTTTACACGAATGTAATAGTAAGCTGGGCACTCATTTTTCTACACCATGGTAACTTCTGTAGGAATTGTCTGAACTGGCTTCTTAATTTCAATTTTCTAAATAGCTGAAACAAGCAACTTAACAATTTGTGCATTATTACCTGAAAGTAGTCTATCATAATCTGAGAGTGGAGGCCAAGCTTTCCACCATATATAACCCGACCTCCTCGTTTCATGAGAAGTAGCTGTTATCAAAACCAACAAAATAGCACATATTTCAATGAACCAAGTGAAGCTTAACAAGTTTTCACTGCAAAGAAAGCCGTAGAATACATAAATAACCTCGTCAAATGCTTCAAAAATGTCGATACTCGGTTGGTGAATGGTGCAAACCACAGTTCTTCCAGTATCAACGGTATTGCGAACAGTTCTCATGACTATGGCTGCAGCTCTCGCATCTAGCCCAGATGTAGGTTCATCCATAAATATAATGGAAGGATTCGCTACAAGCTCCACAGCAATGGTTAACCTTTTCCTTTGTTCGGTTGACAAACCAGAAATGCCAGGCATACCAACCAAAGCTTGTCTTAATGTATCAAGCTCTACTAGTCTCATTACTTCTTCAACAAATTCCTGAAATGGTGCATATGATAAAACAGTATTAAAAGTGGGGTGAAATTTTTTATGCAAGAATATTGATTTGGTACATTGCCAAGTACTAAGCAAGAAACTCACATGTCTTTGTTCTTTGGTGACTTCATTAGGGAGCCGTAGACTTGAAGAAAACCATAAAGACTCCTCAACTGTGACTTGAGGAGAATGTATATCATTTTGTTCAACATACCCGGAAATCCTAGCAAATGTGCTCTGCACTTTAGGATGTCCTGATATCTTTATATCCCCGTTTATATACCCTCCAGTTTTCCTTCCGGCAAGAACATCCATCAGCGTAGTTTTTCCAGCTCCACTGGAACCAACTAATGCAGTTAGAATCCCAGGTGAGAATACTCCGCTCACATTTGTCAAGAGCTGCAACCGCATTTCTGGTTCTCCTTGTTGGCGCATTTCCTGAGCATCAAAATACAGTTAATTATTTGCCACACAGTTACATGACTACCAATGAAATACTTGAGAGGAAAAAAAAAACTTTTGTACCTTAGGCATATTGACAAAGTAGCTTAGATCATTGAAAGTCAGTACTAACGGTTGAAATGGAAGAATCATCCCTTTCCTTCTATTTCCTCGCTCAGATGTTTCACCTGATTCCTCATGCGTACTCACTGCCAAATAGAGGAAGTATCTTCATCTTGAACCGACCATTAATCAGAAACGTGCATAGTAAGAAACCAGGAAAATGGACGTTGTAATCATGATGAATATAGACTTGGTTGTAATTCACACTTACCTCTATTTCTGTTGATTTCTTCTGCAGCATCAATCGGGGCAATAGCTTGAGCCGTTTCAAGAGCTGTGGTGAGCGAATAAAGTAGGCAAGGCTATCAGTACTAATATAACAGTTTGGGTATGGCTTAGGTAGATGAAAAGGTTTCAAATGGTAACCACTCCTAGACTTACGGTGAAGAAAGGCTAGAGCAAGTGTCACAATGATATTAAAAAACAACGCATAGAGAAACAAAACACCAACTCCAATCCAGTACGAGTCATCATCAGTTGGTAAGCTATAGTTGTGGAGGATGTTGTGACCTACAGTATCATTTCCAATAGCTGATCTCTGAGAGACAAATTACAAAGAGGAAAAAGATGGTTAGGGAAAATAAAGTAGCGCCCACATGAAGTCATGAACTAAAATTGTCCGTACTTGTTAGAACGCACCTTCATCCACCTATCAGCAGTAAATTCATTGACAGAAATTGCACGTTGAGCATAAGTTAGCGGTGATACCCAAAACGCCCACTCCCACCATGGCTTCATCATAGCTGAAATAAGAAAGTACAATTCAATATTCACTAATCACGTCAATTAACAGAAGCAAGCTTTGCTCATTAATAGGATAATTTGATTCAGTTACCTTTTGGAATAACAAAACCACCGGATAGGAAAGTAATCAACAGAGCAGCAGATGCAAAAGTATAAGCTGTGACAATATCCCGGGTAATTGAAGCCAATGTACGAAAGATACCTAGAGCCATTTGGTGGACAGCAAAGAGCAGAAGTATAAAACGGAAGAACCTGCGGTATATAAGGAAACATATAAATATGATGATAAATATGAACTAGACCTAGTTAGCTGCGGAGAAGAGTAAAATGGGGTGGGTACCTCCAAATTCCTGGAGCAAAGCCAACTGAGTAGTAGACAGCAACCGACCAAACCACAGCTTGAACGAACGAGTATGGAACACTTAAAGTGAAACTAGCCAAAGACCATGCCCATGCAGGGTGAAACATATTATCTCGTTGCTTATAGAAGACCGGAAGTCGAAAAGTCAACAGAGACATTTCTGCAGCTCCATTAAATAACATGAACACAAGTCCAAAGAACAAGCACGATAGATAGAGGTTGCCTTGTATCTCACTTTCTGGATGCAATTTCGTTCTGGTGAATATTGTGCAAGTGACTAGTCCAATCAAAGCAACCTTGAAGAAGAAACGCGCGGAAGTCAGACTGGTAGAAATCCATAAACTTGAGAAAATTAATAATCAAACAAGAAGTAGCTTGATTGGTCAAATAAAACAATCTCAATTAGTTCGTGTCCTTAGAAAATAAAATCATGAGTAGTCAATGCTCAAAAGCTGGAAGACCACATTCACTAATAGAATTTACGTGTGTAACCGAATTAGGGATCACAAGAAACAAGCTATAAACAGAAAATGCCCATTTGTTCAAGAGGGAAAATACTACCTGACAAGTCTTGAATACATATAGAAATTGATGCCGGCTAAGAAGCAAAATTTCCCGTGCAAAGCACGTCTTCAATAGTTCCCATCTGGATGCAGCATATTTCGTTTTTGGTAAAGCTTTAGGATGGCACTTGGTTTTGTCATATGGAACAGACATAGAGGAGGCCAGAGACCTTCCACACTCAGAACTTTTAAATGCTTGTGCCATCTCTAGGGCAGAAATGAAAACATATGGTTTCGAAGGATCCGCCCAGTACTGACCTTGGTCCTTTTTAGAGGTCACCTGTCAGCCAGCCACAATATTAAAGTTCATTTGAAATCCAGAACAAGTTAACATTGAGAAGATACTAGATAAGTAAGTTAACAGATGAACTTCAGTGGAGTACCTCCTGAAGGAAATCAGCAACACCCTTTCGAGGGGGCAGTTTGAATCCTAGAGACTCAAAGAACTCCAACACTTGTGCCCGAGGACCTTGATACACCACATGTCCCTCAGATAGTAATATCAAGTCATCAAACAAATCAAAAGTCTCTGGCGGGGGCTGTAGAAGAGCAACCAACACTGTTCCTTCTCTCAAATGAACAAAGTTCCTTAAGCATTTTATGACTTGATAGGTGGTAGAGCTATCAAGTCCTGTAGATACTTCATCCATGAAAAGAGTTTTCCTTGGGCCAACTATCATTTCCCCTGCGTTATATTATTATCAGTTAATGACTACTAGCCTCTAAATCAAATGGAAAGCATGCATAGCATACTTCTTCACTTGAATAGTGACTTCCTATTACGACTGTTGTATCTATCTAGAGCGAGAGAGAAGAGTCGAACCTGTGGTAACCCTTTTCTTTTGACCGCCTGAAATGCCCCTGAGCATGTCATTGCCAACTAATGTATCCGCACATACATCAATTCCAAGAACTCTTAGGATATAGTCCGTTGCAACATTATGCTTTTTGCCATGAACGGATGCTGCCTGCTCCGTATGAAATTGAAGAAAATGAATCACATTAAACATCAATACGATCATGGTAGAAAAAAACAAGAAACGTTAAGACGATATAATTTGTGTGTAATATCAAATATGCGCTCCATAAAGGCACAAATCTACCCAAAGACTATAACAACAAGAAGAAAAGAGCAAACAGACAACATGAAAATAATATAATTGCTGAATGCGATGTGGACCTTCATAAATGCATCAATTTCTGGACTTGGATGTATATTCCTTTCCTTTTCCAGTCGAATCAAATCTTTCATCATATCTGATAACAGAAAGAATTAGTTCATTGCAAATGACAGAAAACTGAACTTACACGAATGAAAGACAAAGTTTTTAAACTATAAAGCTCCACCGAATTGTATGGATGTCTAGTAACAATCATTTTCAGTGCCCTCTTTAGCTTTTATTCAAAAATCATAAACGTATCAGCGGAAAATAGAAATAAGCTAACCACAAAAGACTGGGACATCATCTCTTTAAATAATGTAATAGATCCCAAAATATGAATGCAGAGTGAATTGAATATGATTATCTAGCCATTGAACATAAGAACCAGACAGAGGACTAACATAATAGTATCCATACGTTTTATTTAGTTACTAGACTTAAAATGCCAATGCATTCTTGCTTGTAAAGCTGAAAAGCGAAAACAAAGAAAGGGAAGTTAAATCACGCTATCCTCAAGACTTTGTTCATTTCAATTCAACTACTTGGTACTGACAATCCAAATGGTACTGCGGGTGGCTCATAGTGCAGATAGTTCGACACTCCCTACGAGTGTAAGTGAAAGTGCATCAAGCAAAAGTGTAAACTGCAAAATTAATTAATTAGAGAAAGAAACCTGCCAAGTCTTCACTTTGCCCCTGCCAACGGCCAGCAAAATCCAAAGTTTCTCGTACAGTGAGCTCAGCGATATGGTTGTCGATTTGACTGATATATGCAGAAGTTCTTCGTACATAAAATTTATCAAAGTTCTGTCCATTGTACAGGACACTACCAGTTACCTGAAAACAAAATTGGTCAAATTGAGAAACTTATGTGATAGCAATCTCAACGTACAAAGGCCTTACACATAGGTAGAACTGGATGTACACTTGAAGTGGTGGTTATGGAATAAGATGACCAGTTTGCTAACCTTGAGGTTTTTGTCAAGTTTCCCTGCAAGAGCTTTGAGTAAAGTTGATTTCCCCGAACCAGGAGGTCCAAGGAGCAATGCCATTCTACATCCATTCAAAAAAAAAAAAAAAGATTCAGAAAACTGCAACAATGTCCGACTCCAAGACTATGTGGCGAGTTAATGGTCTCTCTTTAACCCCGTTTATGAAACCCGGATGCTAAATTGAAGAAAGTTAGCGGTTATAAGGTTCTCGAATTCAATCGTTGTAGAACTAAAAGACTCAGGGCTTCGACTGGGAAAGGTAAAGACCCTAGCTCTAGGGCTCCCGAAATGATACTTCTCAGTTAAGTTTTACCTGAAATGACAATGATTTCCAGGAGAAGCATTCCGTACTGGTACTGGAATGCGTCGGCGTTCACCATGATCAGCCGGCTGCTGGGACCCATCAGATTGGAGAGCCCAAAATCATACAGAATCGGGCAGAGAGAACCAGCCGCAACGGCGACGGCGGACGGAAGTGAAGAGCCGGCGGCCGCCGCAGAAGCAGCGGTTAAACGCGCCGGGCAGTGGAATTTCTGCCTCTGGGTTAGTTTTTCTGGTCCAGTGATTTTGTTTTCTTTTTACAGTTTCTTCCGACCCTAGACGGCGTCGTCCTCCAGAGGTGGAGGATGATTCGCCCAAGATCCAATGTGACCGGATCCATGTTTCAAATAGTGAACCGGACCAAATTGATTTGGTTTCGAGTCAATATATGGTTCTTGTCTCTGTTTCACTAATATTTAGTAGGGGTGTTCAAACGGTTTGGTTACCATGGTAACCGTTTTAACCAGTACTATTTGGATATTTTGGTTTGGTTAATTTGGATAATTGGTTTGGTTTGGTTAATTTGGATCCAATGTGACCGGATCCATGTTTCAAATAGTGAACCGGACCAAATTGATTTGGTTTCGAGTCAATATATGGTTCTTGTCTCTGTTTCACTAATATTTAGTAGGGGTGTTCAAACGGTTTGGTTACCATGGTAACCGTTTTAACCAGTACTATTTGGATATTTTGGTTTGGTTAATTTGGATAATTGGTTTGGTTTGGTTAAAGTTTTTAGCTTGTTTGGTTTGGTTTCAGACACTCCTAACCAGTCAAACCAAATTAACCAGTTAAGTATTAGTCATATATCTAACATATATTATGTACACATACTTAATACTTTGCATAACCACTCAAGAGTTAACGTTCATCCCTTTTAGACTCATAAAATATAAAGCTCAATATTGCTTATATAGTGTATATTTGTATATGTAAAATGTAGACCACAACATATGGACGCCTAATTTAGATAAATTTCATACATTATGATGGATGAAAACTTGAAAGGAAGGTCATTTCCAGCCTATGATAATTGCTAAGAGACTAAGCCAATTTACATAAACACAACAATTCATTAACCCATACCATTGTCATAAATTTTTGTTAGGTGAATACTTCTATACTAATCGTAAGATAATTGTCTTAGTTGCATGTATTTTTGTTAAGGGTCAACTATAACTACGTGGTGATTGTTATGTTTTATTCATTATATAAATTGCAAATTGTTGCATTAACCGGAAAATTTTCATCGTCAATGATAATGTGGTTTTATATTGGTTAATCCGGTTAACCAATTAACCAAACCGATTAAACTTTAGTTTGGTTAATTTGGTTATTGTATTAGTTTGGACGGTTTGGTTATGATATTGTATTTCATGGTTAATGAAATTTAGCCTTATTTGGTTTGGTTATAACCATGGTAACCATTTGAACACCCCTAATATTTAGCAATGATAATTAGTTGAGTTGGGTCGGGTCTTCGAAATTCAAACCCAATCAAATGGGTGTATCAATTAAGAAAAAAACATCATTTGATTTTGGAAGAGCAAACTCATATCATAATATTGTCGAAAATTTTCATACAAACTAATAACATATGTAAATTATTCGAATTGTCCTTGTTAGATACAAAATGAAATTGTTTTACCTTTTGGGTGTGAAGTTGGTGGAAAATGAGTTGGATTTTCACTCGCTTTTTACCGAGTTGGATCAAATTAAGAACATGTGATTGAGGTTCAATTGTCATCCCTAATACTATTGGATTTAAAATGTTTTGATCTAGCTTCGAACTAGCTAAATCATCACTGAATTTTTTTTTTCTTTCTTTCCAAACTGACATCAATTAGTCTTAGTATAATGATTAAGAAAATTTCTTCATCGAACTACTCATTTCGTTCGTATCACCTTTTTCGTTGTAACTCAATCAATAAACAAAATTTGATACAAATGCAATTGATTATTGTTAACATACCTTCCCGGCTTCAAAATCCCACTGACGCCGCTCAAAATCGTTAACGAATGCTTCTTCGGTTTGTAGATCCGCAAATTTGTCAATAAACCCTAGGAAAAAACCATTGAAACAAAATTCTCAACCAAGTTCCGACGAAATTGACGGCAAACTAGGTACCTCAATATCGACTCTGTACCTCAACGGCGTCACGGGCGGCATTGACGAGCGTAGGCAAAGCTCTGGATCCAACCTGCACACTAGCCACCACATTCAGCTCCTCGAATCTCACCTCCACCGTCGTCACCTCGATCCCGACCCGATCCAGCCGGCTCTTGATCGCCGAAAGCAGCTTGAAATTGTCCTGCGAATTGGTCGCCAGAGCCTTCTTCACCAGCAGCTCTCTGTCCGTCTTTTTCAATTTATGCAAATCGATGGTCTCGGTCAGCTGCCCGTTCCCCAATTGCGCTTCCGAAGGCGTCCTCCTCAGCACCGCGTACCTGTCCCGCTTCTCCGACGGAAGCCTGGCGATTGCTTCCAGAATCAGCTCGTCCTCGTCGTCCCTCGCCGCCGACGAGGTTTCCCCCCCGCTCCCGGCGAACGAGTAGATTTCCAGCTCGAACAACGACGGCTCCCCCATCTCCATTTGCCTACACGCCGGCAGCGGCCGGGGAGGGTTTAATTCGGATTTTGGAGCTAACTAATTACCATCAGTTTTTCATTTGTGAGTGTTACTAATAGGGAGAGTTCCATATCAGATTCTTAATTGTCTCCTGATTTCCTGTAATTGAATCCGGGTAGGTAGGACAAAAATTTGGCGGCAAAATAGGTAGTTAGAGAGCTTGCTTCTTTGCCACTCGGCAGCTCTTTATTCGTCTTCGCTTTTTACCGTTTCTTAAGTTAAATTTACGATTGGGCCCAAGAGAATGAAAACTAGCTCACAGTCACAAATGACATTTTTAAGTTTTGGGCTAATATGCCGCCGGCCCATTAGTCAGGCGAGTCCGGTTGTTTGGGCTTAAACAGTGAGGAACCTGGGAAGCAGTCCAGGCCCGGTGGAGTACGTGTCGCCGGATTCGGAAAGTTGTCGCCGGCGATGGACATTGGATGAACGGTGCACAGGAAGGTTTCATTTTTATATGCCTAGCTCTGTCGGTGAATAAATTAAAGAGTACAATAGTTTATCATTGGCCATTCATGGCTGCCTTCTTAAGCTCCTGAAATGCATTTATGGTTTCTGTGTCAAATCCACCTGCAAACTGGATTCATGTCGAATGAATGGTTAGTCAATGAAGCCTGAACATTCCATGTGCTATTTTACTAGTGGAAAAAAAGAGAGGAAAAGAAACACTTTCAAGGTTACCTGGTGCACTCTATATGCCAATCTAGCACCTTGATGAAGCAGATTGATGTCCTCTGAGCTCTGATTCAACTTCATTTCTATAGCAATCCTCTTCATGTACTCTCTTGATATCTTCAAAGAACTCAATTTCACCTGCAAAATAAAATTCTCGGATTCAAGTCAAATGTCCGGTTTTGAATCTCCAAGTTATTGTGATAAACCAGTTCTCCGACATGGTGTAAGGTTGTTTGTTAATCGACAATTCTCGTGTTTAAACATTAATATATCTAATCAAAGTACAAAGGGGGGGAAAAAACTTCCATTTAGTGTCTGACTAGAGAGTGAAATAACACACATTCCTCTCTAAATAATTCGATCTGTTGATTCCAGGTAAATTGACCATGTATTTTAGATATGGTTGGTTTACCTGTCCAAGGAATCCAGTGCTAAGTAGCCAGTTCCAGGGGATCTGGAAGTTCTTGTATCTCTTCATCATACTCTCTTTATTCCTCTCCATACCATTAACACTTTTTTCCAACCTGTTAAAATATGATTGGACTTAGAGAGAGTCATGTAACTGAAATTAGATCAGGGAGCTAACCAATTGGGATAAAGATGCTTAAGTTAACCTGTCTTGCAAAGCTTGCATCTTTGCTAGAGCCTTGATCAATGGCTCCTTTGGATTGTCCTCGAACGACAAAACTTCAGACTCAAGGTTCCTCAGGTTCTGGTAGTTGGAAGCAGCTTCTCTCAAGGCATCAACTTTCTGTTCAGGCCACTGTGGGAAATGCTTCAGCACTGCCCTCTCATCGACAAGCAACGACAGTTGGTCATCCAGCCATTTCATGAAACCCTCTACTTCTGATACCTCTTTGAAAGCTGCAGACTCCACTTGTTTTATCAATGAGGTTATGAGTTGCTTCTGCTTCTCTACATCCGACTTTATCTGTACACAAATCAAAGTTGCATTCCATTAATTTGGATGGCAAGCAAAGGTTTTAAGATGGTAAAGTTTGCATCTTTACTTACCGCAGATAGATAACTAGAGCGATTCTCGATCTCTCCTATCATGTCTGGCGTGAATGCAAGTGGTGATGTGGTGGAATGGTTCTTCTTTGTATCAATGTGCATATCCTTCTTGGTGATCATACGATAAAACTCGATAACTTCTGGCACACGACGAATAGACTTTAAACTGACTAATGTTGTTGATGGCAGTGGTGGAGGAGGTGGTGGACCTGGTGGTGGCAGTAGCTTAGTCCCTTTAACTTCCCCGTGTAAAGGCGACGCAGTGGAAGCAGGCCTTGATATTGGTGGGTTTGGTCTTGAATTCAACTGTGGTTCTTTACCCTCAGCTGTTGCTTTAAGATAGTGTTGGTGTTGCTGTTGTTGCTGTTTCTGCTGAGAGACGTCGTTCTTGGTCACTTCATTGAAGCTCTGCAGCTTCTTCCAAAGCATCGATTTCCTCTCATTCTCATGAGCTTTGAGGGCTGTGATCTGTGACTTGAGATGGAGAACCTCTTGCCTCAGTTCTTGATTGTGTTTCTCCAACAGATCAGTTCTAAGAAGAGATGCTTCAAGTTCCTTCTTCAGGTAATGGATCAACGATTCCTCCTCTTGCTTCAGCATCTCTACTCTCTAAGAACACTCTGCTTTCATTTGGAGATTGGAACTGGTGAGACCAGTAGCTAGATCTGTCTCCCCCATTTTTTGTTGGTTTCAGGTTCCTTGCTTTTTAAGAAAAGTGAAAAGGGCTTGGTGTTGGTGGTGGTGGTGGTAGTAGTTTGGAGTTGAAAACTGTTATGGGTTAGCTTGATTTTGACTTGAGGTGGTGGCAGAACTTTTTCTTCTTTTCACTGTGGAGGTTTCTTAGTGTGGGTGGCATGTGTTACATGTCCTTACCATGAAGTGTTTGGTGAAACATTGAACTCTTTATGTACTAAAGTACTGATTTCTTCATCACTTTACTCAATTTCTTGGTGGAATCTCATCATCATGAAATAGTAGTGTATTGTACCTAGGGATGTCAATCCAACCCGTAACCATGGGTACCCTACCCGACCGTAACCGGTCAACGAGGGTAATTACCCGCTTTGACGGGTTAAGGGGCGGGTACGGGTAATACCCGGTTTCAAAATAAAGGATAGGGTACGGGTATGGTAATCGATAATAACCGCCCCGTTATACCCGCCCCGCTAACCAAAGGGTCAATTTGCCTTGAGAAATTTAGTTTAGCTTGAGAAATTGAGTGTAGCTACCATTATTGATGATGAAGATGTAGACGATTATTATGTTTGTGTGGATTATAGAAGCAAGAACAATTATTATGTGTTTGTTGTTTTTATTTGTGTGGATTGTTGAATCTAGAACAGTTACAACTTACAAGTATTGAGAATTTTTAATGGACAATAGTATGTATGTGCATATATGTGTTTAAGTTCATAGTTTAGGATTCGTACCCATGGTTACCCGAATACCCGTGGTTACCCGGTGGGTAGGGTATGGTTATATAATTTTCATACCCGGTGGTTATTTGGTCGGGTATTTTAGAAGGCTCTACCCGGCGGGTTAGGAGTTGGTATAGGGTAAATCCGCACCCGACCCTACCCATTGCCAATTTGTACCAATCATCCCCTGTTTGACATTTGCTCACTAGCTTTACCTGAGCTAGGCAATTGGGTTCCTCTTCTGGATCCAACATCTAGAAAGGTTGCAGTTTTTGAAGCTTCCCCAAGAGGAAGAAGTAAACTTCAGAGATTTATCACTGATTGCAATATCCCAACAACCAAATCTGTGAAGCTAGGGCATCATCATTGGGGTTAGATGGTGTTCTCCTTTTGGTGGATTGCTATTGGAGTTGTCTTCTTTTGTAGACATGGGGTTTTATTTACACCATGTAGCTAGGGTATCATCATTAGGGTTTTGATGTGTCTTGGGGCATTCTTTGCTTGTTTAGCAAGGCAGAGTACAAGTAATTATCATGTTTTCCATTTATCAAATGGTATATATATAGGTTATTCTCCTTTTTCTGTAATATCAATGTGTCTATAGTGCACATCGTGATTAAAAACAATTCAATACAAGTAGGCGCACGAAGCTGTAAACTAACTGGCGATAGAAACATAGACAATATGGTAACTCTGAGTTAATCTCAAGTTAGTGAAGATGTTTCGGGCCGGAATTAGTATCGCTTTAGGTGACACTCATAACCTTCAACCTTAGCACTCTACTCCAGAAGAATTAGGAACTGAATGCATCTCCCAACTTTTGTACATTACCTTTCAGAAGAACTCTGATAAAGCATCATTCGACACGAAGTTAAGCATACCTCCCACGAAATGATCTGCCCAGCCATTAGAGCATCCAAATCACCAGACAAACCATTCCAGTTTAGAATCGGCCTACTTGAAGTAGATAGAAAGCTGTGGGATATCAATATCGTTGCCTTCATCATCCTCCGCTGCCACTAGCACATCAACGTGACGCCGTTTTGGAGGCAATTCCACCCCAGCTACTTTCCTAACCAAATCCACCACCTTTCTGTCGATTCTCTCCCTGTGAGCAGCATACATATTGTTGTACAGCATGCTCTTATCGTAGGAGATGCTGTAGGCATCGAGTCCCTTATTACTGAGCCATTGGAGAACTTCCCTCAATGTCGGATTGCCATCGAGGACCCACCTGTCCCAGATAGTCCAGCTCATGTCACGGTGCTTGAAGACTTTACACGGAACTGGTTCAGCCATAGAGAACAAGGGCAGAGCTAGATTGGCAAATGTGTTGCGGTAGTCCTCTATTTTGTGTCCGCCGTCGAGGACCTTGTAGAGCTCTAGACACACAAGACCTGTAGCCATGGCTGTGGAGGTTGCAATGGCGGGAATGATCCTCCCAGCAATGAACTTTGCTTTCAGTTTGTCCACCTCAGGGATACTGTAATTTCTTGCTCTCATGTTGGCAAGCCCAGCTATCAGATCCATGTGGTAGTTTGTGTCGTCATCCTGCAAATCAAAGAGGGGAGAGTATAAATTAATAGAAACATGCTCAAAAGGGATTTTTTTTTTTAATTTTTAGTAGAAGTGAAACCAGCATGTTTATTTGGTTCAAATGTTGTAGAAATGCGTAAGAAGTTGATAGGAAAACCTTTTCGAACTGAATCGGCTTCATCCTAAACCCATGTGGCAGATGCTGCCTGCAGTTTTCCAATCTCATCACAAGGTCACTAATTTGAGCAGAATCGTCACCCAGTGATGTGGACAGACTAGTAGCCTTTTCATCTGTAACTATCGTAGCATGCTTACTTGGTTGAAATTCTGGCACCATCACCTGTTCAACAGCATCTGCTAACTTCTTAAGATTCTTAACCCAGTCAGGAACTGGGATACCAAATGTCTCCGCTCTCAGTATGGAAGCTGCCATAATGAAGTGGAGGTGACTAGGATCAGTAACAGAGAACTCAAGAGGATGAGGGAATCGCTTTGGTGCAGACCAAAATGGAGCACCGGTACTGGTTGCAGCATCTTCTGGAAATGTGTAAATCAATTGCCTCACTCGATTGCAAAAATAATCTTCAAATCTGATTAACAAAAGAAGCAGAAAGTCAGAAGAACCAAACAAGCGCAAGTTACTGACACCAAAAGAAAGGAATATAGTTAGAAAAGTTACTTTAAACGTGCCCAGGTAATGCAATCCTGGAAAGTCTCGCATTTTTCACTGTCAAGACACTCGAGTACATGTTCCAGTGTATCCCTTGACTGTGCATCACCAGCTTTGATCATTGTCGCAGCGTATTCAACTGGATTTGAAAGATAGGCATTGACTTCAGCAGGAATCTTCTCGAGCAAACCCTCGAACTCAGATCGAGCCCAAGTCAAACAATGGTCAATATTATGGGGGAAAGAGTGCACAGTGCACATTGGTGCTTGTTTCTCAGGTGGATCTTGTGAAGCACCATAGTTTTCAGTGAGCCGGGGAATCACCATCTGAGTGTTGCATTTGGCACCTAAGGTCCCAGACTCAAGTAATGGCCTTTGGAAGTACAAGCACCGCTGATCAACATATAGCCTTGCATTGACATTGTCCAAGGCATTAATGACAACAGTCAGATTTTCCCAGAAGGTGTCATCAAATACATTTTCTGTCTGCAGACCCACACGGTTTTGCAATGCTTCAACCTTGAGACGAGGATTTATTAATGCAGCAGCAGAAGCAGCAACGGAAGATTTGGCCTGACCAATGTCCCAATCACGGAAAAGAAACTGCCTACTTAGATTACTCTTCTCAATCACATCATCATCGGTTACAATGAGTTTTCCTTCTTCACCGCACGAGACTCCCATAAGTGCTAGGTTCTTCAAGAATTCACAGCCTAGTGCACCAGATCCAACTAAAAACACCTTGGCATCCTCTAGCTTCTTCTGAAGCTTGGACCCAAAGACAGATATTTGTGCATCATAGCGGCTGTTCAATGGGGTTAACTGACTGGAATCAATATCCTCTGTAGGAAGTGACTCCACTGAGTCGAAATAAAAAAACTGCAGCATGGCATAAAAAGGCAGGGTTAGATTAGATCACCTGCTAATATGCACGACTCCAGAAGTTCAAGAACATAGGTCCAAAAGCAAACAAAAAACGGACACACACAACATAGTCACGCTCAACATCGGTTATAAATATAATCCATATAGAATATGGAAGGCAATCTGAATACTGGAAATAAGGCATGTTCCACATTTGAATGGACATATGTTTCTCCAGGAAAGCGAAAGGATCAGAAAAGAGCCCAGACTGACCTGGAAAAGAGGATGAAACTTTCCAGAGCATGCCTTGACAACCTCTTGACCCACAATACCACCCAACATTGCTGCCATAGGATTTAACACAGCTCTAGCACCAAAGGCAAAGTGTCGCAGAAGTTTGGGGTTAATGTCTTCCACTCTCCAATCCCCCAATCCCTGGTTCATATCAGCAGCTAACTGTATAAATTTTTTGGCATCATCTTCTGAACCAGCAACAGGAAAGCGACCAAGCTCAGAAACAAATTTATCTAGCGCCTGAAATGCTAAGTGGAGGAGAGGTGGGCGATCAAACTTGGAGAAATCACTCAAAAGAAATTCTCCGGGATCTTTAAGTGCCTCTTTTAATGGTTTAAAGTTCAATAGCTTTGGCTGCTTGACCTGGGTGACAATGCCACCTTTCACATATGCACCAAATTTTGTGGTGTCCTCTTCAAGTGTAAATGAATATGGCCTAGCATTTCGTATCTTCCTTGGTTTTCCATCATTCAGTTCAGTCATCCCATGAACTTCAGAGAAAACAACAGTATCACCATCCTGAAACTCGAGCCTCTCATCATCGACGCATGATACTAGTGCTGGATTGTCATTGTTGATGGATGCAATAATGCCGGTGTGTGGTTCCTCTCCATCAACATCAAAGACAGTGAATGCAGGTCCAAAGTCACAAAATACAGAACCGAAGAGGCCTCTACTCTCACACTTAATGAAAGCAATAGACGGTTTTTGATTGTGGCAGAAGTTATCAAATTCCATGGCTTTCTCGAGACCTGTATTGTTAAATACAACAGCCTGCACAAAAGTAGCAAAAGCATAAACAGACAGCAGTAACCTTGAAAAATCTCAGTTCGCCGTACTAAGCAAATTCCTCAACCATCATTGATAAGACAATTTCCATGAACATTGAATATCCAGCATTGACTATAATCACCGGAGTACCTGGAAATCAGCGAGTTGTTCCTTAGCCAAACTTGTTGTCAATGCAGAAACCGCAACAGCATTGTTGAGCTCCTGCAACTTCTGTATACAAGCAAGGGCTCTATTCTTGCCAACATCTTTCTCAGAGAAAACGAAGTTACTTGACAAATCCCACAGCTCCACAAGTCCTTCATCATGTAACGTTACAGACTTCACACCAGCAAGGATCAGGTTCTTGGCTGCAGAATTAAACACGCACACACACCCTTATATTACTGACAAACATTGAACCAATATCTAAAGGAAATAAGAAGAGAAATCAATCAATTTAGCAGCTCACCAATCTCAGCCCCAAGCCCATTCATCCCGGACACAAGCACATTGGAAGCGAAAAGCCGCCGCATGGTCTCCCGTCCATACACAGCAAGCTGCCGGCTGTGAAGATCCTCATCAATATCACCCGAATTCCCGTCACCAAACCCTATGGTGGAAGCCGATCTCACACTGCCGCGATTACTATGATCACTACCACTGCCGCCGTCGTTCGCGACGAAGCAGCTACTTGTTCCGCAACCCTTGGCAGCCGAATCTACAGAGTAATCTATCCGATGGTGCGCCGCATGGTCTTCGTCAGAAACCGCCGCTCCATCGCGACGCTTTCTCGGAAGCATATAGTAGAGTAAGCTGCCAACAACCCCGCACAGACCGACCGAAATCAATACCACAGTAGAGAAAGTTCTACTGTTGCTATTATTGGCGGCAAACATTATCCCCAGGAAGATTGGCGCCAAAACCACCGCGATCAGAATCCCTAACCCTGAACTGAACATTGATTGCGATTGGGCGCGGCCTTTAATAGCAGCAGAAGAAGATTAGTAGCAGAGAGCTAAGATTCCAAGGCAAAGAGCAGAAGAAATGCGAAACGTTCCATTTAGGTGTTAAGCATCTGGATGTTGCCTCGACTCTGAGGAAGAAAAGTATTTGTTTGAATTTTGAGACAATTTAAGAATAACTACGATGATGATTAAAGACCGAAGAGGCGGCCGGCGAGAAAAACACGTGCCGCCACGGCGGGTGGCTACGAAAGTCAAAACGACGCTCCTTTAGTTGTTGAGAAAGGGTGGAGTCGGTTGGGAGATCACTACGCCGTCGTTTCACGTAGTCGACCAGCTTTAGTAGAGGGAGGGAGGCACAAAATCGGAGAGAGAGAGAGAGAGACTGAGCAAGCGGAAACAATTTCCATAGAACAGCGGAAAATGGAAGGAGGCAAATCGCAGGCGGGGACGGTGATCGACGTCACTGTGAAGTTCAGCGGGAGATCGATTCCTGTTTCGGTGCCGTTGGATTCCGCCATTAAAGACCTCAAAGATCTTCTTCAACCCCTCACCAATGTCCTCCCCAGGGGCCAGAAGCTCATCTTCAAGGGTCTGTCTCCGTCTCTCTTTCTCTTGGTTGGTCGATTCGACTGATTGATTGATCAAGAAATTGTTAGGATTCGGATGAAAGGTTGTGATTTGTGAACCTCTTTCCCTTTGCAGGAAAGCTGTTGGCCGACGCCATGACGTTGAGGGAATCGGAGGTCACAAGTGGCGCCAAGATCATGCTTCTTGCCTCTCAGGGCCTCCACCAAGGGGTACATATCTGTTTCTTTCTCTTCATTCGTTTGAATAGTGGTTAGCTTTTTGATTCGTCAACTGCAAACGAAGCTCGTTTCTTGGAACCATTTCCGTTCACGTTTTCGCCTCTAGTCGATACTGCTTCAATGCAAACTGTTTCTTGAGCTTAATTTAGGGTTTTCCAGTCGTCCCAATGGCGTTTCTGGGGTTTGGAGGGTAATGCTAATGTCATCATCTTTTCCCTTGGGACAGGATGGGCCGATACTGAAAAATGCGGCAACCCGGCCAATTTCAAGGGATAAGATGCCCATAACCGAAAAGGGGAAAGCTATAGTCCCTTACAAGAACCGCTTGGAACGCTGGAAATCCACTGGGGTCATCGCTTTGGCGGAATGCAACTTAAAGGTAAACAAGAGTCCCGCTTTTATCTTTCATCTGTCGTGCATCAAGTTACAGGAATAGTTATTTCACAGTGTAAAGAAGCCACATTTTATCTGAAGCTGAATTTTGTACTTTTATTTCTTCTTGCTTTCAATAGTCCAGCACCCTACTGTTTTATTCTGACGTTGAAATCCATAAGCCAGGGTGCAACTTTTTCATTGTCGATTCTGGATGTCACTTATTGTGTTCTTCTTTTATTGGGGTTGACAGGTAATGCCAGATGATATTTGGGGTTGTGGGACTTCTGCAAGAGCTCTCGATATCAGCAACAACTCTATTCAAGAGATACCATCCAAGCTTGGCTGTTTGAGTTGCTTACAGGTGAATAAACTTTTGACATCCATAACGAAAGAATAACTGCAGCTCCTGTAGAGAGGAGGAAGAAAGCCCTATCTGATTGGTGCCTTTTTTTTTTTTTTTTGATGAATTGGTGCCTTTTTTTATCATATACATCTGCAGAAGATTATGATGAATGGAAATGACATTTTAGATGAATCTATTTGCTGGGAAGCTCTAACCTCTCTGAAGCGTCTTACAACTCTATATCTCAGCCACAACCAGTGAGTCAATTTTCCATTGTGCATGGTTTGTGCTGTATGCTTCTGATCTTTTGGGAAATCAGTAGAGGGCCTGACAGACCTTATTTTTTTTGTATTACTCCTACCCAATCGTAGTCACTCTGTAGCGCAAAAATATTTAGTGCCTGCATAATTGTGGATAGTTATGCATCATACTGAGAATATGTTCAAGAAAGATTAAAAAAAACAAAAAAAGACTAGATGTTACTGCCACTTATGACAGCATGCTTAACGATGGAATATTTAAGGTAAATCTAAAGAACCATTGCTGTATATCTCTTTTGACTTGGAAGTGTGCTTTGCACTTTGTAGTGTAGTTGAAACCTGTAATATACGTGTGTGTATCTTAAATACATTTCATTTGCTTGAGGTTCTGAGCTAGGTAACCTGTGTTCTTATGCATCTTACTTCAGTTGCAATGCTTCATTTGCCTAGTTATTTTGTGATCTGGGTCAATTGAGTTATAGGGAGCGAGTACTCTGTCTTGGTTTCTTAGATGTGGCTCCTTTAAACAATGATGGTGATCATGTTCGTTGCAGTTTAACAGTGTTGCCCAAAGAAGTAGGTGGTTTGAAGTCTTTGAAGCAACTTCATGTTTCAAACAACAAATTGAATAGCCTCCCAGTTGAGATAGGACTTCTTACTGGCCTTGAAGTTTTGAGAGTAAACAACAACAGGTAATTTATTTGGATGAAGGGAACTACTTCTGGCCTCGACAACCCACTCCTTTCCATTTCAGTTCTATTATATCATTGGTGCTCGTATCTGGATGCCTAAGTCAGCATCATCATGCAAGATGATGGTTGTGTTATTTTGTATTGAGTCAGGATAAGCGCCATTGATCCATCTATCGGAAGCTGCATTTCCCTTGTAGAGGTATATTTGCCACTGGAGAAAGACTTCTATCTCTCATATAATCCCAATAAAACTTGTCCTTTACCTTGAATGCTTTCGTTGGTGCAGGTTGATCTTTCCGCAAATCTTTTGATAAATTTGCCAGAGACTTTTGGCAATCTACGTAATCTGAAGGTCCCGTTCTCTCTTCTTCTTCATGTCTACTTATTGACTATTACAATTAGAATCCAACTTAAAGCACAAGTTGCAGTCAAATAAACGAAGTTTGGTCTTGGCCTGTTTGTGCATGCATGCAGGCCTTACACCTCGGCAACAACGGATTGAAGACCCTCCCTTCTGTGCTGTTTAAAAGTTGCACACAACTATCAATTCTAGATTTGCACAACACGGAGATCACGATGGAGGTCCTCCGGCATTTGGAAGGCTGGGAGGATTTTGATCGCCGACGTTGCTCAAAGCATCAGAAGCAACTGGATTTCCGGGTGATGGGTTCTGGGGAGTTTGATGAGGGTGCTGATAAAAATTGAGCAGGTGGTGGAAAAACCTGAACTGCATGCTTTCTTGCGGTCTACTGCCTACTTGTCACCCAATTGGCAGTAGTAGTGTTGTAAGCTGGGATTCTGGTCTCAACTTGATTTGATATAGCTCATGTTGTGAATAGAACTAGTCACAGAAATTGCACAGAACAGAGCTCATTTTTGTCTAAAGTCGATTGGTTATTTGAATTGCAGGCAAGATAACTTTCTTAAAACCAATAAACCATATGGTTTGACAGAAGCTCAATTAGATGAAGACTAATACGGCCGTGATCAATATCGTCATCATCATTATCAACTTACGTGTACCAGTTTTGTCTGTGTTAAATCTTGACACATGATGCAGGTAGAACAGGCCTTGATTACTTGTATTATTAAAACTTACGACATTTTCAACCATTGGCAGTTATTGAATCGTTAGGTTTACTGTTGAATTAGTGGATTCCATGGTACATGGAGGAATGTATCAATTTAATCGTCTTTAACTTCTTTGTATTATAAATTCAGTGGACGTATTCTACCAGGTACCAAGATGGGATAGATAGGGTACTGGAGAAAAGAGAAGGGAAATCAATATCAAAACCTAAAGTGAAGAAGATCGAGTTCATGACCTAACTTGCACGGGCGTCGTGTCCTCTCTCAAAAATTTAATTTAATTAGATATTAGAATTAAATTAAATAATTATTAAATATGAAAATATTTTACTAATAAAAGTTAGGCAAAATACACCTGTATAGTAATAACTTTTCACATTTGTCACAAATATAGTTATAACTATTCGAAAACACAAAATAACCAATTCCGCCTATTTTGTTAACGACACCAGTTGACGGTATAACTGGATTAACGGAAGATGTTGAATTGGCGATTTATTGTCACCACCAACTGCAATGTAGTTATGCTGCTCACAGCATAAAGTGTGAGTAGATACTCACACGGTGGATCCATTGTCCACGTGGGCGAGAGTAAGATGGCGCCGGTTTGGGTTGAGGAAGGTGAGAGTCGATTTCAGGTCGGCTGGCCGAACCCACGGCTGACCAAGCCCACAAATTCAAAATTCAAAAATCAAACCTATTCTTTCCCCAATTCAGTTTCTCCGCCAGAACCACTTCGAATTCCTCTCTCTCCCACTTTTCCCCTCTCTCTCACTTTCCTCCTCTCACAAAAACGACGAAGAAGCAAGCGAAGCGGCGACGACAAAGCAGCGAAGCGGCATCTTCTCCCCCCTGAATCCAATCCCCATTTGCAGGGACGTCTACGAATCCAGTCCTCCTCCAATATCTAGGGTTTCGAATCCCTCCCCTTTCTCTTCTGGTTTCCTTTTTTGCATTCGTTCCCTCAGCTTGACTCTCCTTGGAGAAAAAGCTGAGTTGATGATGATGATGGTATAGATAGGCCGGAGGAATCTTTGTTCACTTTTTTTGCCACCCCGCCTTTAATTTCTGCTTCTGTAACAGAGAATATATAAAAGGAGGGGGTTTGGTTTTCCGTGTATCTGATTCTGATCCAATTGGAGGGCTTGGCTTGGTTTGGGCGTAGGATTCGTCTCTTCTTTTGACTTGGATTCTCTGCTCCCGAGGTGTTCATTGATTTCTTCCCCGCTCTCTCTTTTAGCAGAAGGGAAAAGACGAGGAAAGTTGGCTGCTTTACTTTGTTTTCTGCAATTTCGTTGCTTTTATTTGTGGGGTTTTAGAGAGATAGGGGAAAAGGGATGTACGATCGGGTTTTCCATTTGTGAATTTGTCTTTTGGGTTCGTGGGTGAAATATTTATTTTGTGGTAACTTATATGTCACTGGATATGAGTTCGTTCTTCTGTGGATGTTATTTTTGGGTTTTGTGGATTTGCTTTGTGTTCCTTCCGATATTAGTTTTGTTCGGCAAGATATGTATTTTGTTCCTTCTGGATATCCGTTGTTTATTGCCTGGGTTGTTG